AAACCATGTACGAAAATATTCATTACATAAATCATATAAATTAGATAATTGTTGTGGTGGTCTAAATAAATCCGCAAGATATATAAATGAACGTATTAATTCATATTTTAATTGAAGACGTAAATTCTTTGAATTTGTTGTTAACCAACGAACATATAGTTCAATTAGAATTTGTTAAGATGATGTTAAATCACAACCATGACGAGAAAATAAACTCTAAATTATATGTTTTTAAAGGTGAATGCTAAAGAAGGAAATGTTCATACTCTAATTTTTTGATTGATAAAAAAAATTTCTCATATTTTAGACTTTATTAATAGAATACGAGAAGTAATTAGGATGTATTTGAAATTATTGATATAATTTTTTTATCTATATGAAATAAGATAGTTTGTAGGTATTATATTTCAAATATAACCAAAGTTAGAGAAACAATAGATTTTTTTTGTTCGATAAAATCAATAATTTAGCAGCAAATTTGTCTTTCTTTTAACCTAGACTTCTATATAATAAAGTTAAAAATTGTTTCAATAACCTTTTTTTACACTTATGTTCCATGCAAGACAAGTACAATAAAAAAAAAAAGAACCATACATACATTAACGCTTTTTTCTTCCTCAATTTGTCTGAAAAAAAAAGTTCATACCACTCTTCGTTATGTTCATTCATTCAGTGAAATGATTGGTGAACGAAAACAATCTTCGTCCATATTTCTAATGCATCTTTCGAAAAATTTACTTTTCTTTCTGTCCGTCATTCGATTGAAAACAAGACGGACTAATCGAAAAAAAAATTGATCAATGAGATCAGTCCATATAAAAAGTTGAAAAAAACGATTATGTTTCATTCGACTACAGCTTTCACAAAACAATGGCAATTGATTCTGTAAGTTGTCATAAGAGAAACATGTGCTCCATCTATTACAGTACGGAAGTTTAGCTAACAAACATATTCTGGGAACAGTTTTTAAATCTTTCTGCTATTTTAATTTCTTGAAAAATTATTTCAGTGTATTGAATAATAAAATGCTATCGTTGATACAATTAGATGATTATGACAAGAGGAAGTTTCAGATTTTAGTGAATGATACATATTCTTGTTATTAACATATCTTTTTGATAATATATCTCCGGAATGATTTAAAGTTAAAACAGACG